TTTTCGTATAAATTATTCATATTCCAAATAACCAATTTCTAAATATTATATATCTATTCGATATATTATTATAATCTTATTAAAATTCTGGAAACTCAAGAATTAAGATAAAATATTAATTAGAAATACGGCCTATTTTCTATATATTTTGTCTTATAAAATATATATATTTCTATATCTAATTTTTCATTAATATATCTCTATCTTCTTGCCATTTTATTTTATTATTTATCTTATATATAATAATCATATATAGATATATATCAATAAATCATCTTTTTTTATTTGCTTAAAAATATTATCTCTAAAAATATTATAGATTTATTCATTTATTGTATTTACTACGAATATGTATTTTTATCCGAAATCATTTTCTATTATTTATCAGTTTATATAAGATTACATAGAATCTATATATAAACCTTTATAAAACATTTAATATCGAATGAAAAAATCTTAAAGTAATAAATAGTGAAAATCATTCGTCGAATCCCAAATTGCAGAAAATCTTATAAATAGGGATTTTGATTGTACGATTCGATGCTTCGTTTGTCTCAAGTGTCGACTACTGTAGTTGCAGCCGCGGCAAGTCAAAACCGACGGCCCTAGGTTGCTTAGACATCTGGAGCATGCTGCTACCACAAGCAAACAAGTACTTGTACAGGAACAAACAGTAAATACAGAGAAGAAGCGTCGGAGAATATTTCGGCTCACACACAAGCGCAAGGCGGGCATGGTGTCACGACGTCCGAGCTTACATTTAACGTGTTGAACAAAGACCCGCCATAGTTTGCGGTCATATTGATCACGCTGAATGAGTTCTGATAGCACTGTGCCATGCTGTTTTGATTGTAAACCAGACGAGGTGACTTGAGTGCTTGCTATAACATTAGGTTTCGTGCCTGTCCGGCTGCAAGCTGCCGAGATGTTGGGCTGGGCCCGAGCTGCAGTCGCTTTTCGACTGAGCTCATTTTGCGGATGCTCGGGTTGTGGCTAGAGGTTCGGGCTCGATGGCTCGTGCTTCGTTTCGGAGTTTAGGAGAGCCCTCACAACCCGCTATGGTGTTTCTAGCCATCCGAGCTACGAGCTGTGGGATTCCGGTGCCTACCATCCTAGGCAGGACCTGGCAAGCACAGCCTACATCAACTGTGTGTGAAACACGGAGCACACTGCGCGGACTCATCGAACTCCCTGAGAACAGGGCGGGCTTCATTAACGCGCAAAATCAAAGTCACTCCGCGCAAGGCCCGGGCTGATCAAATGCCCTCGATGGATTTCCGGGCCTGCGTTGAAGCCACAGAGCCCTAAATCCTGAAAGGCTAAGCATGAAACCCAAATCCTCTGAAGGCCCGAAAAGGCCCCAAACCTTAAACCCTAAAAGGGCACTAAGGGGGGGGGGGGAACTCGACAGCTTCGGCCTCACGAAGTTGCACTTGGCTCTGCCAAGTTGTCACCAGCACGTCCCGGTGCTGGGCCACTTTCTGCCGTTCCAGCTCCCGATCCTGCTCCATCTGCACCATACCTGAAGAACAGAAAAACACTGCCGAACAATCGATAGACGCTGTGCTTGCATTCTCATACAGTGTAGAACCAAGCTACAATTGTTGACGATCTGTTGCTCTTGCCGTAGGCGCATGCTCCGGTCGATCAAGCGACGATTCTGATCTACCTCGGGCCGGCACAGGCACGGCATGCTGTACGATAACTACAATGTGAACCCACATTCGACATATCCATGTATGCATGCATGCATGTCTATGTGTGCACATACATGCCCACATGAATGCACTGTGAACACACTTAATATGTAGCTGTGTGGTTGAACACCCCAGTGATCTCAAGCAGGAGCAGTCCAGTTCCACTGGGTTTCAGGCTTCCATTTGCTTGATGAGGTCTTGACAGTGTGAGCGGTGGGTCTCCACGGTGTGCGTGGGCTTCTCCTCACAACCGCAGCAACAACCAGGGTGTTTATGGGCCTTACAAAACCTAAAGCCTATTAACCTTGCGAGTCTCTAGGACTGGGAGACATATATGAATCTCGGTTGCAGGGCTTTCAGCAGTAATGCAGCTAGGGTCCTCGGGGCCCCAGTATCCCGCTGCTTCGATGCGTTTGCTTTCTTTCTCTGCTCGCCGTCGCTGGCGTTGCTCTTCGATCTGATCCTTCAAGAAGAGGGCCTTGGTAAGGAAAGGATGTGTTCCAAGGTTATGGGTAGGGGTGTAGCACGGCAGGTAGAAGGCTGAGTGCTGCTGCATGCCTCCTTCTTGCGTCTGCTTTCGCAGTGGTTCCATCCTTATTTTTGACTCGCAGGCATGCATCACCATCATTCTTCCAGAAGCTAGATTTCGGTTTTATTTTATCCGGCTTTTGTGACTTGCGCTCAGTTGCAATGCCTCCACAGCTCGTTGTGCCTTTGTGTGATTTTGCTGGGTTCGCCTTAGCTTGAGTCTTCTTGGTAAGGAAGCTGCATGACGCAGGGCGTCGGCTACGAGCATGGAATCCTCAAGCATGTGGATCTCGTCCTGCGGGTCTTCAGGGACCACAGAAGCAATACCCTCCTACCCGTCTACCCTGCTTCGTCACTTCAGCAGAGCTTCTGAAGCACTGCATGCTGGCGGTGTGGATTCATAAGGACTTGGGCCTGACGCTTCTTCGCCAATGTCGCCAGCTCCATCTTCGTCTGCTCCACCTGGCATGAGTATTATTATTTCTTTAGTATCACTACTACAAAGTTACTACTATTATTATAGGACTGTTCGACAACACGCTTGCCTTACTTCGCTGCCCGAAGAGCAAACTTGATCTGAATCTAGGCCCCCGAGCCGCAATCGAAACTATAGCAAGTCAACGAAGCAAACGTTGCACTTATGAGAGCCTTGTCCTCAAGGGCTCTTCGAACATGCTCGTCGTAGAGCCTTCTGGACCTCGACTCTTTGGTGATCTTGGCCATGTGTTGCAGGTTGGCTCCACAGGACAGGCAAAAGCTTAGCTGTCTGCATGTGATCGCGACTCTTCGTGAGAAAGAGTGGATGCCTGCAGCAGAAGATGTCGTGACTACTGCGAGCGAAATGTGAGAGCACACGGGCCGCAAATGCTTCGATGGCCACAACAGAACTCAAATCAATGGTCACTGCAGCGGTGCCCAATCGGCCTTGCCATGTGCGCACCACTCTCATCAACCAGCTTCATGTCTGTCTCAGCTGTCTCAGCTACTGCCACATCCATCTTCTCCTTTGTCAGGCTTTTCACGTACAAAGGGACTGCAAAGGTAATCCGGGCCCAGTGCCTTTCTCGACACAGGTACCGTGGCCTGACCCCGAAGTGGAAAGCTCGACTGACTGTCCCCTTGAGGGTCTTGTAGCTGGTGCTGCAGGAAACGAGGCTCTGACGTTCGGTCGGATCGAGTACAAGAGCACGTTGTCTGCACGCGTGTCCTGAAGATGGTCAGAAGGCGATCTTGGAAAAGGCGCATCCTACACAGCAGGACATTCCATGCTTGTGTCACGCGGCTTCTGTTTGGAACCGGCACATAGGTCGGCTTGTGCCAGCGGGGACTTGCGGAGGCAACATAGAAACACGACGCTGCAAGAAGCCAACACCCTGCAGCATGCATGCTGCATCGCCCCGTCCTTGATCAGGGCGTCCTTAGATCTGTCGAGTTTGGATTCTCTTCATTTTGACTCACACACTCGCACAAGGCAGGCATGGCATTCTCTTCATTTACCTCCCCACTATTCTTCATGCGCTTCTCAAGATTTGCAACAAAGGGGATGTTGACGATGGCGATAAGTTTGGGCCTTGGGCCAAGTGCTGACAGCAAGATTCGTTGCGGGGCGGCTGCTTTTCTCGCTGCTGCCGCAGGAAACCCTGCATCTCTTCGCGGAGAACGGCGCTCTTGGCTGCCCTGCCCTGCAGCAGGTAGGGACGGTCTGAGGCGAAATTTGCACAGCCTTAGAAGAGATGGAGACTGATTGTTCAAAGTGCCACTATGGCCTTGGCAATTGTCTCGCCCTCCACGAAAGGGAAGTAGGAGATGTGCTGCCCTGAATGACTTCGTCTTCGAGCATTTGAGGAGACTACAAAAAGCTTACTATGAGGTTCATGGGTAGCTATAAGCGGGGTTAGAAGTCCCCTACTATGGGCTATCACTACAGTTACCCTACATATAACCCTACTAATAACTAACCATGAACCTCCAAGTATGAAATTATGAAGGCTTCAGCAGTCCTTGGCTGGCGGCAGCTTTCACTGCTGCCCTCTGGGCCTCCTTGTTTTCGATCGCAGCTTTGTACTGCTGCCTGTGTTGCAATCATTGCTCTAGGCTTGCCTGCGTGGTCACAGCAGCTGATTCTGGGCTGCTGACGCCAGTTCTCGCTGCATGGACCTTTTGCTCTGGTCCGTTGCCTGTATCCAGGCTCTTGTCGCGGACCGGCGGACTGGGTGTTTTTGCTGAGGGTCGGCCTTGATGCCTTCGCTCTTGACGCGATCTTCTTCGATCAGTTTCTGCACCAACTCTCTGGAGTTCTTCCTTGCTAATGCCTCCGAGCCGAGCATGGTGCGAGTTCTTTCAGGCATTCGGATTCTGAGGCCTTCTGCTCCTTCTTTTCAAGAATGAGCTGCTTGTTGTCCTCAAGGAGCTCCCTGGCGGACCTCGGCTACGAACTGTGCCGGGCTGCAGCGTTTGGTCCCGATCGGGGCCAGGGCATGGGAAGCGAGCCATGGCGTCCCCCCTTGAGGGGCCTCAAAGAGACTAAGATGACTTCGGGGCTTCGGGGGGTTTTTCCTTGCATCTTTGCATCTTCTCACCCCAAACCCCTGAATAACTCGGCCTTGGAAGCAGCTTGGACTCCATGTCTGAAATTGACATCTCCTCCCAGAGGAAAGGGAGTTTCAATCGAAGAGGTGCAGAAACACACGGTTGCCCGAAGAAGCTCACCCTCCAGGCCTGGGCCCGGTTAGAGCTCCGTGGCGTCTGAGGGTTTGAGCCTGAGTCTGAATCTCTGCTTTCAGATCTCTTCTGGCTCACTAACCCTCCGCTCCCTTTCTGGAAGAGTGTATGAGCCAAGCATAGCCAAGCTGATTCTGAGTCTTCGGCCCTCCGCGCCCGTTAGCCGCGGTGTTTCCCTTCGTATGTCAAGCTTTGATAGCCAGTAACTATGGTATTTGTTTGGTATTCGGCCGGTATCACCATTAATACGGCGACTAGATTGCTAGATGAACAAGACTCACTACAATTTGTCAGTCTTCTCACACACCTTCTTTCTCCTGGCCTCATCACGCTCTCGCCAGTTTCCCGCATCGCAGATCGGTCCATGACCGTCTTGCTTGCAGGGCCAGGAAGGGTCGAGGGATCTGGTTTCAATCCCCCAAGCCCTGTGTCTGTCTGAACCTCATACTTGCGGCATGCAGCGTGGCTCTTTCATCATGCTTCTCAGTCGGGCTGCAGCCCTCCCCTGCACGTTGTCCAACTCCTGCCTCTTTGCGCTGAAGAGGCCGACACGTCGATTTACAACGTCTGTCCGGCCATGCACATTGAGCCTCGGTTGCATGCCTGAGCGAGCCACCGGCTGTTAAAGTACGGTGCACTATGACACTACGATGCACAATCTGCAGGTCAGCAGGGCTGAGCAGCACCATAATGTGCTTGAAATGGCGGCTGCCAATTCTCATGCTTTTGCACGAGCAGCCAGAAACAATGCCGGGTATCTACAATTAATCCATACTTTGAACCATCTTAAGGCCTAAGGTGTCGTATGCCCTGTCTCCATGTCGCGAGAAGCTCATGAACTCTACGCGCCCTGCTCCTTGCATGATACAGACGAGAATAAGTGAGTAGAAGCGCAGCTGATTTCAGCTTGAACCCAATGTGTTCTTCTTCTGGAACATGTCCTCCCGATGCGAGCGGCTGTCTTGCAATTGGCAGCATGTTCTTTCCCCTAGGCCCACGCACACCCAGACTCTGCATGGGGAAGTTGCATGAACGAACCTTCCTAGAAAAGAAGCACGAGGGACCTCCCACAGTCAGCTACTCAAAGCTCGGGTCTAACATGTTCTGCTCTTAGCCCGGGCTCCAGAAGCTCGCCGAACGGAGCTTGTTGCTCAGGATCTTTCTGCCTGCAAGGGCTCGCCGCAGTGTGTCTAGCTGGAGTGGGCTGTAGCCAAGACTCTAGGAATCTAGGGGCCAAGCGCTAGATCGAAGGATGCGATGCCTGGATGCAGAAAGCAGAGACCGGAAGGTCAGCAAATCTCAGAAAAAGTAGCTGAGGACGGAGCGATCTGCAGGCCTGTAAGCCGTTGCTTGCCAAGGGGCGGGTGCGGGGCCTGCAGAAGTTGTGCTTCAGCCAGCTGCCAGTCTGCAAGATGCGGCACTGTGCATGAGCACAACCCGCAAGCTGGCGCCCCGACTCCGCATGGAAGATACCTTGGAGGGGCAGTTCTAAACTGTACCATGAAGACTTAGGGAAGGGACGGCTTCGCTTCCCCAAGGAAACTAAAGCCCGCACAGGCTGAGGCGGGGGGGCTCTTGCCTCGCGACCGCAAGCCGTCCGAGATCCACCGGCTAGCGCAAGCAGTGCATGGCGTTTCCCTGCCCCCTCGCACAGATATCTTGAGGCGAGGTTGAATTGGGCCTCCACCATAAGCCTGCCTAAGCCGTTCAAAGATGAGTTACCTCCAGTTTTAGTACCGACTCTTGAGCCGCTCGGGCACTTGCAACAAAGCTCTGGGGGCCGCTGCCCCCAGATTTTCGCTTTTGAAGCTTTATGCATTTTGTGCTGGGGCTTCCGACAAGCCTCGAAGATGCGTAATCAACAAACATTCGACTCATTCCGCCAGCCAGCTTAACCTGTTAAAAGTTAAAGAACACAAACGCTTGCTGTTGGCTGCAAGGTGGGTTCTAGTGGCTCGCATGTCTGCTGAAGCAAAAACCGGACCTGCAACGCGCTGGAGATCATCGCTTGAAGCTGTAGAAGCTCCTGACTTTTGCCATCCACAGCAAAGGACCAAGGACATCATAGCACATCATGCTGCCATGTAAGAGGGCACAAATTCTTCGCATCCACAAGAGTCCTGTGGCGACAGTCTTTCCAGCTGCTGCGGAGTTAAGTTGCTGCCCTGCGGCGGTTGCAAGACGTTCGCACTGGAAGCAAAGTTGCTAGAACAGCAGGGCCTACTTTAACGCATGAAGCCCTTGAGCACTTCTTTTTTCGTTTGGACTTTCATGGGCAAATCACGTAAATCACTGGATGTCTGCTCCTTGGTGACACGGTGCATGTAGGACAGGTGCTTTCATGCTGAAGCTCCGGCCGTGCCGTTGGACATGAGCTGTTCGACCCGCCGTGGAGTCAGCCGTGGCTCGGCCTTGGATTTCGATGAGGGCATTGCAACACTCATAGCAAGTTATGGAGTCATTGCACAGGTGACCAGCGGCTTCGACCTGTATTGTCTGCCCTTGGTGCGCTGCCCCACCACCACCACCAGCAGCCAGAGCCGCGAAGTCTGGTGTTTCTGGCAGAAAGCAGAAAGTCGTACATACTCCGACCGCACTGGCGACTGTGCGGAAACCTTGTCACGACTGATCCTTCCTCTAAGTTGACAGGTGCTAGTTGTGTTACCAAAAGCAGCTGAGCTCTTGCGTCAGTCCGATCAATTCAACTCGGGCCTTCTTGTGGGTCGTCTCCTATGAAGAACATGGCCGGACCAGAACCTGAGGCGAGTGGTCCACGCCTAAAGCCACCGGCTCAACCAACGATTCAGGCACCAGCACCTACTCAGCGCCTGACCCAGCTGACCGTTGGATTGTGCTGCAGCCTGATTAATGCAACAGTTCCATGACTGAAGACACTGTCAGTCAAAACTCTTGGCCTCGGCTGTCTCCGACTGTGCTTCAGCGGGAATCCTGCGCTCCGGCACGAATTGATGGACATGGCTTTATGTGTTTGAGCTCCCGTGCTGGCTCCTGGCCACAGAGGTCGATGGACCGTCACCAAGAAGGTCCCCTGCAAATCCTCCTGACCCTCCTGGCGGCGGCCAGGAATGACCCTGCGCTCCTGAAGGCACTTCGAGGTCATTGACAGCTAGTAAAACACATGCAGGGCATTAGATTGCATCGCTTGCGAAGCAAGCAATTCTGTCCTTCAGGTGGCCGCACTGCTGGCTCTACCTTTGCTTCGCAGCTTGAGCGAAGCTTTCCGATCGGAAGCCCAGGGCTCCTGCCTCCTCGGGGGGCTTGAGGAGATCGTCAAAGGCTGCAAAGGCTGCCAAGTGATCAGCGTCCACAGCCTGGAACAGGAGGCTCTCAAAACCCGTCTGCAGTTTGCTCCACGTGGCACGTGGCTTCGAGCCTTCTTCGGCGGCGCCCGGGAGCACTGCTCAAAGAGTCGCCTGGCATGGAGGCGCAAAAAGCACACGGGTCAGCCCTTCGTTCAGACCACAGGAAGGAAGCGACTGATGGGCAGAACCACGCAGCGCAAGCAACACCTTGAGGCAGCAATGGGGGAAGAATCACGGGGTTCTGGGACTCCAGGCAAGTAAGTCGTAAGTCTTAATGACAGCTGGACATTGAGATCGCTGAGGACTCGCCATGCTACAGAACAAACAATCCGGAGCTGCTTGAGGTCGTCCTGGCTGCCGCTCATGACAGCCTGGCTGGAGTCGAGAGTCCCGATCCCAGCACATGACGCATGCACATGCACGCCCACCCACCCACCCACCCACCCACCTACCCACCCACACACCCCTACATATCGCATGCATGGATAGATGCATGGATGGATGGATGGATGGATGGATGGATGTGTATACATGTGTATGTCTCTATGTCCGTATGTCCGCGTGTATGTATAGGTATGTGTATATATATATATATGTGTAACGATGAAACGAATGACATAGATGGACGTGTTCATGAATTAGTGATCTATCTGTATTGCATGCAGGGTTTGCGTCACTGTGCTTTCGAGTCAAGCCCAATCTACCAGTCCCCAGAGCTGCCTGCCGCAGCTTCTCGCCAAGAGACAGGTTGTCCTCGGCCCATTTGCACTGTTGCTTTTGGGGCTGGCCGCAGGTTGATGTTTGCACTCTCGTCTCCACTCTGTATCAGCATGCATGGGGTGATGTACTGGTGCTGCTTCTTCACCGCTCGTGGAATCTGTCGCACATCCTCAGCCACCAGCATCAGGGGCCTCCGCTGGAGCAGGCTCCACAGCCTGGGTTTCGTTCGCTGAGGCAGTTCGGCGTGCTGGGCAACCACTGGCAAGAGACTTCTGCAGGGGCAAACTTGCCAGACCGGACCAAAAAGTTGCGAAAATCGGTTGGGCTTGCACTGGCTCCTCCACCGGTACGCGCGCAGATGTATCGATAACCTGCTTCCAAGGCTTCTGTCACCAGTTTTTGCCCAGCCGCATGATATGTTGAAACAGTGTTGCAATTGTAATCGTTGACGGTTGACGGCACTGTGAAAGTGTCGCAATGACACATGGCAGGCCTTCGCTTTTGTTTATGAATGCAGCATAGGCTTACAACCCAACCCATGTCACATGTTGCACCGTCGTGATTTCGGCTTGATGGCAGCAAGAAGATGTTTCAGCACAAGCGCACTGCGGTATAATGTGACCCGCACCACTTTGAGGCGGAGTGGACCAACTTCGTTCCACGGCGCAAATGGCACGGCGGCTCAGAATACACACCTGCAGCCGGAGAAGTGCCAGCACACTGCGTCTGGGCTTCGGCACCGACGAGTGCGGAAGCTTCCTAGGATGGTACTGAGATCACCATTGAGCGGCACAGGCCAAACTGGCCCAGAGCACTGGTGGGAAAGCGGGAAAACATGGAACCGTTGGTAAAGCACATAGCTGGCTGCTTCGTCACGCAGGGACATGCCCAAATGTCGGGTCATCAAGGAGACCTGTACAGTAAGTCTACAAGTGTGTGTAGGGTTTTTCTCAACCGGATGGGCATCCCGTGCGAATGTACGCACTCACAGGCAAAGCCACGACCAGCATACCATCCTTCCAAAGACTAAAGACACATTACGGAAGATATACGAAAACATAATATCATCCGCAATATCATCGAAGTATGTAATGTGCAACATATGTTATGTATATATAATAAGGTATATAGTACGATGATATATGATACAATATACTATAACAGTTATACTATAACATGTATAATACATAACGCATAATCTACAAGATACTCATACATCATGCTCCACATATTGTGGTGAGGTTGCTTTGCGCGAAACCACAGTGGCCGGTCCTCTGATCACCGCGGGATGGGCTCTTCTGACACAAGGACAAAAGCACAGGAAGACTCATCCTCGCCTCGGCTACATTCTGGGTACATGTGGGTACTTCTCCAAATCTGGGTCCCTTCTAGGGCCCTTTTAAACTTTTGTTGGAGCCTATGGGATCCTATAGAGAACTACCCGTGTGGGCATTGGGAGTTCTATCGGCCTATCGCTCCCATGAGATCGCAACGGAGTCCGAGCAGCGACTGTCATCGATTGCCGATTGAAAAGCACTCCTGAGAAAAAAAACTGCATAGGGAATTCTCAAAGTCACATGATGACAACCTACTCTTATTTGTGACTGTGTTCGGGTCCCAAAGTGTCGAACCTAACAGCCAAACGGCACGTCGAAAAGTCTAAGTAGACTCTTTGCACTTGTCACTCCTTTCGTGTAAAAGGTTGCTTGCACTAAGGCTATCGTCTCAAAAGTTGTGCTTGATGCTCAAGTATGTGAGCTGCAGGGAAACTGAAGTTAAGTGCTGAACAAGCAACGCGCCGCTGGACAAGGGACCTTGGAGGTCTTGACTGTGGCTGCTGTGTAGGGTCTGTGGGACACTGGCACATGCCTCAATATAATTAGGGCTGCAGGCAAGAAGCTGTTGTCGACCCAATTTGCGGGACTGCCACCCGGGCTTTGTGGTGACACGAAATCTCGCAACATACCTTCGAAAATCGAACTCCACGCTTTCCAGGCTGGGGAACATCAGAAGACATGCTTAGTCACTTAGCGCTTGGGATCTTGGCAAAAAGTGGCGCCTGTACGTTGATAGGCCACGCCTTTGTTCAACTGTCCTCCAGCAGGCACCTCCAGTACAGGATGGGGCGGAGCAAGTACCCCAATTGAGTCGTCATCAGATTTTCTCTGGATCTTATTTTTATTACTATGACTGTCGCGGTCATGGTCATTAGTAGTATCAGTGGATGAGCAGCATTCTTTATGTCTTTACTCCCTTCGAAACACACAACGACATGATGAGGATGGCGTACTACATCACGGTAGTATTACTAGTTTGGCTGATGTCGCTTTGGTATTCTGAACTTTCTATGTTTGCTGCTGTGGTAAGACAGCGTTGCCTCGCCCAAATCGCTGTCTGTCTCATCGAAAAAACGTTCTTCCCAGCTGCACTGGACCAAAACGTACCAGCCTCAAGTGAACATAGGCTTACGGATCTTTGGCTGAGGGTTTACAGGCTTCTTTTGACGGCTCGTTTCGTCTGCCGAAGCAATTAGAGGCTTTTTGTCAGGTTTTAGGGAACGACCGATGATACATGCCCTAAATTGTCGATCTTGCCTTCGCAACCGGATGACTGGACATAAGCAGCAGCAGCGCATCCAAGGGCCACCAAGGAGCAAACACAAGGAATGGCCATTAACAGTGAAACATAGTACCCGACCTGCAGAACAGGTTTTTCGAGATCATAAAGTTGGGGTCTCAAGTCCTCTTCCATGAACCGCCTCGAGCTGCGTCCTCTGTAACCGGGTGTCGCCAAGGATGGCTGTCAGTACAGTGAAACCAGCGTTGGAGGTCGCGCTCATCAGGAGGTTCATAGCTTGAGCGCTCGATCTTAACCTAAGTCAGCCACCGGGGGCTTGTGCGACTATGCAACAGCAAAGAAACCACAACCAATCTTGACAATGGAACCTCAGCGGCGTCTGCGAATATGCCAAGTAGTAGAGCGAGGGATTCCTGGTGATTTTGCGACTCACTCCTTCTGGCTGTGCCGGACAACTTGCAAAAGCGACTTCTTCAGTGCTCTGTAGCACTTACGACATCATGCAGAAACATGTTGAAATACTCGCAAACGGCTCTAAAGCTGCAGCCCAGCTGCACCAGAACCTCTGCAGCACCCATGAGAGCGTAGGGGCCAACCATGAACCACGCCGACAAGCCTGAGGCATTCCGAACTTGTAAAGCAGAACTGGTTGAACTCACCCTCAAATGACAATCCTCTGTTCCCATGTCAGAGTTGCTGCTCATCTTTCTCCCAGGCGGTGCGCATTTGGAAGCCTTGTTTTGGCAGGTTCTGCCACCATGGAGTGCATGGACCCCACCCAAGTTCGACAAATCTGCTTCGCCTCCTGGAGTGGGCGAGCGTGGCGGCGCATGACCTGCACAGGAAAAAACAGAGAGCATGAATGTTTGATTGCCGCACGTGCGCCCTTGCTGCTCCAACATCTCATGTCTGCCATTGCATGTGGATGAGTTCAAAGCACATGTGGCCATGTGATCATGTCGCCAACTTCATGGCGCTTTCCGGGGGCCCTCGCATGCCCTCGTCAAGGCGCCTCGAGATGGGCGGCCGAAGCCACCGATCCGGCGGCAAGAGCAATTCCCAGCAGCAGGCGCCCATGTCGGCCAACACCACAAAACCTCTCAGAGACAGAGAGATCTCCGCAAAAACACCTCCGGATATCTCCGGATCAGCCGACTGCAAAGGGCCTTTCCAGTGTCGGGTTGACGTACTGCAGCACCACAGGTGTCAGCAGCACTATTGCTATGCAGTCGGCCACGTTGAAGAAGGACCCGTTTAGCTGATACTTGCCGAGGCGGACGTCCATCAAGCAAGCTTGCTCCTGCAGAAAGGAAACTTAGAAGATTTCTGTACTTGTGGCCGACATTCGTTGAAGTCTGACTTCAAGGGCAGGCTCCTGGAACCAATAGGCCATGCAATTGTAGAGGCTGTTGAAAGCCAGATTCACAGCAGCCAATGTTGGCATCACGCGCAGGAAGTCGGCTGTTTGCTGTCTTGTGACATGGCTGTTCCGCTGTGCTCGTTCGTGGACCCACCTCGGAAAAAGACTCAACTTAGACTTGTTCTTTGTTGCCTCTGCCTTTTATGCCTGATTGTCTCTGCCAAGGCGCGACAAGTTGCCTTGGCAACCGATTGTGGCCATCACCAAACCTGGCAAAGGCCAACAGAGCACTCATCACGGTAAAGAGCACCCGACGTCGGAACAGTGAACCCGGAGCCGCCGTCATACAGCCGGCTTTGTGAGGTTGTGGAATTCCACAGAGGTTACAGACCCAAGCGTGTGGTGCTGGAGTTGTGTCAGATGTTGAGCGCGGCAAGTGTTGGATGGTCTGTTGGCATTCTTTTGGAGGGAAGGACCCAGAAGACCTGATGTTGAGCTGGACGCAAACATTGACAACCGGCATCGCTGAGAGTTCTGAGTTCAGACCCGACGGTTTCGACAGTGTTTCGACACCGAGTTATCAAAAGGTGCTGGAGGCACAGTGAGCCTCAGCGAGCACCCCAATGAACAGTGCCGGTCTGCAGTCGACGTCGTCGTGTGACTTGGGGTGCTTGGGACACTAATCGCCAACATCACATGTCACCTCAAACAACTCGGGCCTGCCAGCACGGCGATCGCGCCAAGGGCACCTGCCGGAGCTTAAGGGTTCGTCTTAGCACGAGACACCAGAAGAGTGAAAAGGCCGATGCCTATGCCAATGCCGGGTCCGGGGAGTAACGCGATGACGACTGTGAGGAGCAGACCCAGCAAGAGCAGGGGAAATCCTGGGGCTTCTGCTTCCTTCCGTGCATATCTGGATGGCTTGTATAAGCTACTACCTTTCTAGGTTTGTCGTCAGTGGCATTGTTACAAGAGGTGACGGGCATGTCGCAGCAACAACTCCCTAAGGTCGCGGCCCACGCAGATCATAAGAGCACGTAAAGAGCCATGAGATGTAGCTGACACGACGTGCAAGAAAACTCCGCGAATTGCATCACCGCCGCTATTTCGTCGAACAAGGCACCTCCGGAAGCTTCATACGGACTGCTGAGCTTGCAAGCTGGCCTACTGCTGCATGCCTGTACTGGCCACTGTAGCAGAGGAAGATCAGCAGAGCTACGACCATAGCGAAGAAAGCGACGAAGTAAGCAAAGCAATATCCCATGTCTTGCGGCACGACTCCCGGAAGGCCACTCGAGCAGAGGGTCGTCAGAAAGCCGTAGGATAGGAGAGCTCCAAGATTGATTGCCGTGTAGAACTGGGTGTAGAACTCTTCCCTGGCCTTCCGCCCTTCAGGACCTTAGAGTAGACAGTTTTGCTGCAATCTCTTGAGGATTGCGCCAGTTGTGCTTAAGACACTTCGTGAGTCGAACTGGTCGGCGCCGAAGTTAGAGATGTTGGGCTTGATGCCTCCTGTACTATGCAGGGCATCGCAGCAGGAATCGCGGTCAATCCCGCTCGGACGTCCCGGGCCTGTACCCAAAGCAAGCAAACCCATAGAACCGACCAAGTAGTAGTAAACATCTCTGTGGCCAGGAATGGCGGCGGTCGCACAAAGAAACACCTCCATCGCCGAAGCTATGTTGTTGGCAGCACGGGTCGAAACACTACGAATGGCGAGGATGATGTGCTAGCAGCAACTGGGCCGCCAGCTCCACATAGGTAGAAACCCGTGAAAGTAATAATGGTATGGTACCGGCCCAAGTAGGCATCAGCAACGTAGCCACCAAGCCTCGATACACGGACAGATAAATTCTTATGCAAATCAAGGGCTTTGGCAACAGATCTGAGAAGTGCTGCGCATGGAACACCTGTCAGCTTC